AAACTTCTCTAGTGAATTTTCCATTTCATTTATTGTACTCCCCAACTCTATAATTTCTCTCTGGGTCTTTCTAATAGTTTTTATCTTTATTGATATTTCTGTGATGAGTTGTTATTCTTATACTTTCAGTTTCCTCTGCATGTTTTAAATGGCTGATTTAAACCTTTGTCTAAGTAGGGCAATGTCTGGATTTGTTCAGGAAATATTTCCATTGGTTGATTTTCCTTCTTTTATGGGCTCGACTTTCTTATTTATTTACATGTCTTAAAGTCTTTTTTAAAAAATTGGACATTTAAAATAATACAACATGGCATCTTTGGAAATCAGATTGTTTCATCTCTCTGGGATTTGTTGTTGTTCCTGCTTGTGATAGCCATGCAGTTTGTTTAGTGACTTTTCTCAACTAATTCTGTAAAATTTATTTCTTTATTGTGTGCAGACACTGAAAACACTACTGATTAGCTTAGTGGCAACTAATAATAGCAAAGATTTCCTTAAATTCTTGGAAAAAAAATCTCCCAGTCTTTGCTGAGGGGCTCTGTATGCATGTGGGACCAAGCAGTTGAAAACTCTTCAACATTCAGCCAAGCCTTCCTTTCCTGCTTGGGAAGAACCTCAGGGTCAACCAGAGGGAGACCGCAGGGCCATTTCATATCTTCTTGAGCATGCATGTAGCCCTCATCATGTACACAGTCTTACACATGTGCATGGTCTTCTAGATTCGCAGGAAACTGTCAGCTTTTCAAAATCCCTGTGTTTTGGGGATTTGGGGCATGTCATTCCCCACTTTTTTCTTTAAGCTTTTGACTAGTCTTTCATTTGCCCTAAATATTTTCCACCACCTTAGGCAACCAGGAAGTTGAAACAATTGCCTACAATTGTTTTCGCCAAAGCTTTCTTGGGAAAAGGATTATTGCACTGGCTAATACCTAAGTCAGGTCAAATACAGACAACCTTACAAGTGAGTTCTTCCAGGGAGCCAACAGACAGTTCAAATAATGACAATTACTTGTCAACAAGACTTTGAAAAAGCTCCATATCTATTCTGTTCCTCTGATGGCTGCACTGGAATGTGAATGGTTATTTTTCAAGGCTACTATGAAACCAGAGGATAAAGGGTAGAACAGTGCCACAAACCTTGCTATTTATACTGAGCTCTGGATCTTTCTCTTGAGGAAATACTTCCAAGCATGCTGCTGATTTCCAAAGTTCTGAAAAGGTTGATACTGAAATTTTTTTTTTTTGGTAGATTTTTCATTGTCTCTATGAAGGGAATTTTCACTGGTTTTTATGTCACTATTTTTGTTGACATGTCCCCTGCTACTCTTTATCTCATTTAGGTTTTGGCCAGAGCAGCCAGGAATAACCTGCTGTATTTAAAATAATTCCCTCACTTAATTGAGCTGGTTTTTCTCTGTCAAAGTGCCTTGAAATCATAGAATCTGGTTAAAACAAGAATCCCATTCAAGTTACTTTTTTTTTTAATCTTCTCGCTTTAACCACAAAGTATGATCTGATGCTAATGAATCTATGTTTGAATTTTCCTATATGGCTAAATATTATTTCACTGTTTACCAAAAATCCAGAATCCAACCAGTCTTTTATAATTGGCCTTTTAGATATATGTGTTTTTAGGTATTAGTGTCCCCACATTACTGCCTTTTAATTTCATTGAAACCCTAAATTTGCTTGTAATTAGCGGTCAAACCTTAAGTTTCTTTGAGAGAGACAAAAAATATGAAAAGGAGAAACTCAGAATTACATGATTTAAGATAGTTTTTGGGCATTCCTATTTCAATTGATGCCATAAAATAAATCGGAGCATGGAATTACATGAACCAGGGCTGCTGTCTGGAGAGAGATGTCACATAGTATGAGTCCTGACAGGGCAGATGTTGGAGCTGACAGTAGCTATCCACTCTACCAGTTTTGTTGGAAGACTATGCTTCTGCAAATGAGTTCTTCAACCCTGGACCTTAATAATTAGAATTTTATTTCTCAAATTTAAAGACTGATTCTTCCTGATAAGATGTCCTATTTCCTAAAGTTTATTTTAATTGTAATTTTTTTTACTCTTGGCCTTCATCCAGCAATGAAGAGTCAGAATGGATAAAATATGCTTCCATAATCAGATTGTTTTTCTACTCTCCTGGTTCACCTTTCAATGATAGTGTCAGAAAGATTAGACAAACTATTTCAAATTAGTTTTCCTGGGAGTATTTAAGATTTAGCATTTAGAAGGAAAATGGTGGTTTCCAGTAGAAAAATTGAAAACTTTTTCCCCCTAAAATGTGCATTATAAATGAAATGGGCTTGCTGATTCTCAGTATTTTTGGAACATAACATATTGAATCAGTTATTCCCATAGGAGACCTTAACCTCATGTACTCATGTACAGTATGGGCCCGTTCTGACAGCATGGGCATAGTTCAGGAGGCCCAAGCATCTAGGAGTTAACCCACTGGCTCCCTGCAGGCTTGTTTATTATTTAAGGGTGCATCACTACCTGTGAGAGCCAAAGATTCAGTCATCTGATCTCCTGTTCTCTGGATTTTGTAAAGGAGTCCCTTTTCATCCAAGAATAAACCCTTATACTCATCTCTGGGCCAGCTTAGCCTCTCTGGGAAGAGTCCCTCAAGGTTTGCATATATTTGGGGTCAGTTCCTCCTGCATTGAGGAAGCTTGTGAGAAGGCTAATGGCTGTGTGGGAGGGATGCCTCCTTTACTGCTTGCTGCACTTCTCTGCCTAGGTATGTCTTTTGACCTCCGGACGATAATTATGCTTATCATTGGTGGCGGGATCCTGGGAGCCACAATGGTGCTCACAGGCGTTGTCCTCTGTCTTTACTTCAAAGTATCCAAGGCACTGAAGTGAGTCACGTGAGTTAAGAGTGAACAACACCCCCTCAAATGGGACACTGGAACTCTCTGCTTAGCAGGGTCATTCCTTGTTTCAGTGGCCACACCCTGGGTGTGATCAAGAGTCACAGGCAGGTTTGAGAAGGCAAAGGAAGTTTGGTGCAGAATCTTGGGGGTTTCTTCCATCTGGCTTGGGGTTGTAAGCTCCTGAATAGAATGGTCTCAGCCTGGAGGCTGTGTGTGCCAGAACACACAGTGACTGTGCTGTCACTTGACCTCACTGGGTTTACCTTCAGGTGTCTAACAGCCCCTTAGCAGAGACCCCTCTGTCCTGGACTCTATAGATTGAACAATCTATGAGCTCTGCCTTAAGCATGCAGAGGACAGCCACACTGACTTCTCAGCTGAGTTGGGAGCTCTCAGAATGTTCCCTCATTTATTATCGTAGCCTTGGAGGGACAATGAGTTGAGCCAATAGAACAGAGCCCCCATAGAGGACAGCTGACAAAGTCTTGTAGACCATAAGAGAGATGTTTGAGTTTAAAGAGAGGAGCCTTAAGTATGGGAGAGAATGGCTGTCAGCAGCAATGGTGTCCCAGGACTAGGGAGTTAGATGGAGCCAGGAGCCAGGGCACAGCCATCTGGAAACTCATCTGTCCCCAATCATTTCTGCATCTTGAGGACCTGAAGTGGTCAGGAGTGATCCCTGTTTGCAATTCATACTTCCTTGCTTTGTAACCCAATTTTACATGCATAGCAATTGTAGGAAAGGAATGTGTGAGAGAGGAACTCAGCACAGTCAGAGAGCTTGAATCTAGGGCTAGTGTCGCATGTGTAGTTAGTTCCAAACTTGCTCTTCTCAGATAGCCTTGACTATTGTAAGAAATGCACAGAAAAATCCTAAGCCCTTGCTTTGTGTATGTGTTTTCTTAAGATATGCAAAGGAACCTGATGCTGTGGCTTTAAACTATAGCTATCCAGCCAAGGTCTATCCCACCAAAACCATCACCACTGAGTCTTATCCTTGTGCTGCATTCCAGTGCTATGATGGATGCAGCGCATATGCAGATATGGACCCCCTGCCACCTTGCTTTTGTAGCCCAAAGGAGGGACTCTGACCTGGAAATGGTGGGCACAAAAATCTTCATCAGCATTCTTTCTTTCTTGCTACAATGCTTTATTATTCAAGTCAGTTTCTATAGTGTTTACATTATACTGTATACTTTAAAATGATACTTATTCATGTAATTCTGAATAAATGTGCAATATTGCAGATAATCATCTCTCCCTTCAAGTATTTTTTCTTAGTTATAAGTACTCCTTATTTAAATAATGTGTTACCCACTATGAGATTTCGGGAAACAATCTTGGAATGTTTTATGTGCAAGAGGGAGAGCGAAAGTAGGAAAAAAAAGCGGTCAACACTTTTCTAGCTCTAGAAGGGAAGTGTAAATTAATCTCAGTGCTTTTCCAGTTTCAGCCACAGTTAAAAGTGCAGAACAGGAGAAGTGTGAACAGCTGTTCTGAGGGCTGTGCACTCTCAATCCAGCTTGTCCACTGCTCTCATAAGGACACTGTTCTCAATGAGAGGAGGTCTAGCCACCCCATAGCAGCCTGAGATGCATATCTGGTAGCCTGAAGCTTGCCTCTTTTCTGCCTGGACCCCAGGCTTCCTTACCCTTTACCTCCACCCCGTGGGCCTAGAGAATGTCCAGACTATACACTGCTTCCTGGTCTCAGATCCCAATGGTTTTCATTCTGAAGAGCCATGATGGCCTCAGTAGCCACTGATACCCCCTGTTCATGACCTGCACAGACAGGCCAAGGCTTAAGTCCAGGTCAGTTACTAGAGGAATGACTCAGTGCCTCCTGTGTCGGCTGCTGAGAGTGGGAGGACATGGGCTGGGCCCTGCCTGCAACCCTTCCAGGAAGTAGTTCTAGGAGTAAGTGTGTACTCCTTGGGACCGCTGGCAATGGCGCAGCCCCACAGCTGCTCTGTTCTCACCAACATCTACCCCTTCCATGGCCAAACTGACACGTTTCCCTAGAGGTGGCCAGGAAGCTTATGAAACCAGATAGTTATGAAACCCAGAGAAGTATAAAAGCCTGCCAACCAGTCTCTGGGGCTCACCTTGACAAAGATGGAGGTCATAAGAAGGCTCATTCTTTTGGCCCTGTTCATTGCCTACTGTTTGGCAGAGCTGAATCCCACTGAGGGTGAAGGTAAGAAAAGTGAATGAGATTTCTCAACACAAACAGGGAAGACCTTTCGCCAGGGCTCTTCCAAGAATTTTCAAAGATTTCTACCTGCTATTGGCCCCAGAACAGAGAATAACTTACCCAAATGCCAAGGGTGGATTTTGGTTTAGTACTAATGTTATTCAAGTGGATGTGACAATGTACATTGAAATACAAAAAATGAAATTTTACTGGGTAATTTCTTTATGAAGAGTTTGTTTTAGGAAGTAATCATAAAAGTGCACAAATCTATTTGTATAAACATATGCATTTGTACATAATTTAAAAGCAACATTAATTTCCTTCATTGATTTTGCTATGGTACATCCATATAAAGGAGCATTCTTTAGCATGTTTTAAAAAATATCTATCTATAAATAAAGAATTATTAAAGAGGATCTGCTTTAGTGGGAAATACCTTAAAAGTTTGCAATATGATAATGTTTCTATTTAAAACATATGCATTTGAGCATTTTTAAAAACTGGAAAGAAGAGAGGAAAGAATCTAAGTACTTACAGCAGGGTTTTAATGATGTGTTCATTCTGGGTGGATGGGATTCCACTTTTCATCTCTAATTGCTCTTGAGTTCTGATTTTTTCCTATAAACATACTGTTATTCTTAGGTGAACATAAATAACAGACTTATTACATAGGCATTTTCACTCAGTTACAGATGAAAAAGAAAATAAAACTTTGTTTCTATATACCTGGATTTTTTTTTAAAACTGGGGTTTGAACTGAGGGCTTTCATGCTTGCTAGGCAGGCAGTGTAGAGTTAAGCCTTTTGCCCAGACCATAACTGGAGTTTTTTCCTGTGGTATGGGGGGGTTTGAACTTGGGGGCTTGGTCTTGTAGCGCTGTACCATTTAAGATATACCTCTAGCCCTGTAACTGGAGTTTTTGATCATTAGATCTTTTCTGGAAATGTGTCTATCTGGTCCTTTGTACATTTTTAATTGGATTCTTTGTCTTTTTTCTTTTCCTCCTTCTTTTTTTTTTTTTTTTGCAGTACTGGGGTGTGAAGTCAGGGCCCACACCTTGAGCCACTTCACCAGCCTTTTTTGTGATGCATTTTTTTGAGATCGGGTCTCCCGGAACTATTTGCCTGGGCTGTCTTTGAACTGGGATCCTCCTGATCTCTGCTGTCTGAGTAGCTAGGATTATAGGCATGAGCCACCAGTGCCCGGTGGGTTATTTGTCTTTTAGTTATTGAATTTCAAGAATTCTTTACATATTCTAGATATAAAAAGCTTCCTTTTAAAACTGACTCTTTAGGCCTTAATATTTTCTTTTTTATGAATCACATGTGGATACCAAATAATTTCTCCTGAAGGGCTCCAAAAAAGTAAAACTCATTGCTTGTTACTTGATTTGGAGTGAAGTACTACTCACAATTAGCTGCATGCTTGTATGAATATTATGTGTGGGAGGCAGATTCTCAGTCACTGCTGGAGGGGATAAGGGCTGCCAACTTTCCTCAGTGACAACTGTGGCCTCTACCAGCCAGATCAAGCTGCACGGCCAATCTGGGAGGGTCCAACCAGGGAGAAAATCATAAAAGCCAAATTCTGCAACTCAATGATGATGAGAATTGCACCTGGACAATAGAAATACCAGAAAACAAGAACATCAGAATCATCTTTTCCAATGTCCAGTAAGTAATGGCTTCAGTTTCCCAAAGAAGGTGCTTAACCTCTAGCCATATTGGGGTGAGGGTACAGTCCCTGTGGAGAGAGTTGAGTTACTGCAAGAGGTAGTGGTCACCTCCATGATGATGATGACAATGACTACAATGGCTGACAGTTTTGATGATGATAGTGCTGGTGGTGGTGGTGGTATGATTGGTGATAGTGGATGATGATGGTGGTAATAGTGGTGATGGTGATGGTGATTATGGTGGTGGTGGTGGTGGTGGTTGTTGGTAGTCACTGATGGTGACCACATGCCCAGCACAGGATCACAGAGGTCCTGTGAGCTCAATACTAGGATTACAGACACAGGGAGGTTGAGAACTTGCTGAAGTCACACAAATGAGTGGAATGACCACAGTTAATACCCAGCTAGTCTAGTTCTAGACTCTAGGCCTTAAAACTACAATTTGGTTCCAAATTCTACAATTTGTTTCCAAATTTTGGTGTATATTAGAACCATCAGGACAGCTTCAAATATCCCAAATTCCCAAGCAGTCCTCTATACATTTATATTACAGTCTCTTGTGGTAGGAAGAAGACATCAGTAGTTTTTATTTAAACATTTTTATTTTGAAATAACCATACAATCATAAGTGAATCTTGCAAGGGCTCTGATGTGCAGGAAAGCTGAGAACAAGCTATTGGTCTAGGCACCACATTTTAAGAATCCTGGCCCTATATACAGAAGTTGCAATAGACTGATCATCAATGAAATAAAGAAGGAAATTACAGACTTCTTAGAAAGGTAAAAATTAGGAAACACAGACATTATTTTTGATGTGTAAGAAGTGTGGGTAGAACAAATGTAGGTAGACTTTAAGATTTCACATTTATTGGACACTTCAAAAAAGGAAGTTGTAGGTGTTTCACATTCAGAATACTAAAAACCACATAGCATTAAAAACATTCTCATTTCACAGAAGAGAAAACTGAGGTAAAGAAAAGTACAATGCTTGTTCAAAGTTACACAATAGATAAGTGCCTAAGGAGAAAGAGGACATGGTAATGAATAGAAGGGACAGCTAGAGAGATGTTAACATTTTCTTTACCTTGAAAGAGCTGGCTATACAAGAAGAGTTGCTTAACAGTCTTGGATGTCAAGGTCAATGAAGATCAATTCTAAATTAGAAGGTTGTACAGCAAATAGTCACATGGGCATGGGAAACAGTAGTGATCAAAGCAGGAGAAGCAACAGAATCCTGGCTTCCAGGCCTATATTTACTATTTGATATAAGGTATAGGCAAATCAGCTCACCTCCTTGAGCACATGAGGGTTGTTTCGCTGCTGAAGATGATGGGGATGGTGATAGGTCTTAGAGGCTTAAAGGGAAGCATATGTCAGCCACTTAACACATGGCCAGCCAGTATGAGCAGACGGCTCTGCTCTTTGAAACCCACTTTGCTAGTGGCTCTTGTCCCGTCACAGGTGTGTTCTGTCCACAGGTTGAATCCAGATGGAAGGTGTGAAAGTGAAAACATTAAAGTCTTTGATGGAAGTTCTACCAGTGGGCCTCTGCTAGGGAAAGTCTGCAATAAAAATGACTTTGTTCCTGTCTTTGAATCATCATCCAATTCATTGACTGTTCAAATAGTCACTGACTCCACAATAATCCAAAGAACTGTCTTTGTTTTCTACTACTTCTTCTCTTCTGACACCTGTAAGTTGTCGTTTATGCACCATTTCCCTGCCCCTTCTGAATGCACAGGTCATAGCTGCTTCTGCCCAGGTTGTTGTAATCTTGAGTCTGAGTCTGCTTCCTCAGAGACCTCTCTGCAAGAGGAGCAGTCTTCTATTTTGAGTGTGCATAAATCACAGAGTCCAAGATTCTGATTCCTTGATTCTGGGGAGCCCATAAATTTCCCTTCTAACCAGCTCCTGGTGAAGCAGAGGGATGGAGCTTTCTGGATGGCTCTAGGTTGAAGGATGCTGTGTTAAGAGTCTAAAGCAGAGACTCCATGTTCAAACCTAAGGTTTTTTTTTTTTTTATCAACACTAAGGTTTGAACTCAGGACCTCATGCTTTTTAGGCCTGTGCTCTACCACTTGAGCCACACTTCTAGCCCAAAACCTGAGATGTTTTTGAAAGCCTGTTCAGAAACCACACATCCCCATTGTCTGATTGATTAGATGTGGATTGGGGCTATTCATCCTTTATGCGTATCTAGTCCCAGGGTGATTCTGAGAAGACCAGAGGTCATGGGTTGAGAAAAGTTGACAGCTGTTTCATGGTTCTGCTTATCTCAGTACCTACATTCCATTTTTACCCACTGCCAATGCCATGAACTTGAGCAAGTGAGTTCATGAGGAAAGCTCCACTCTAGTTTTCTCTCCAAGGTGCAGAGCTGATCTTGACACTCTTCTGCTCCAAGTACTGATTTCTTGATGCATCAAATCTCTGGAGTGGAGTAATCAATAGTTTTAGAAGCTGGACCCAGGCCATCTTTTCAAACCTGATATCTAACCCTCATCTGAAAGGCATCTATTATTTACTGGATCTAAACCATTTTTTATGTTCCTAAAAAGAGCCTTTAGTATTTCTTCTTCGTGTGTGTGTGTGTGTGTGTGTGTGTGTGTGTTTTAATCTCTTTGTTTGCCTCGCCTACTAGGGCACGGAGGAAGAGCGCATTCCTGAAGGTTGTGTCTTAGCTTAGCTTTGAATAATAATGCAACTAGGGTAGGGAGAGGTGGAAGTAGCGAGGACTTTGCTGGAGCCAGTAACCCTGAGCCTGCCTGGGAAGAAATGACAGAGTGGAATAGAGGGTCACATTTTAGTGGTCCTCAGATTGGATAGCAAGACTGGAGTTTGGTGAGGGAGATTGGTGAGTAAGAGTGACTTTATCTTTTATGGCTCAGTCCTGAGCCATAAATGAAGGGTCTCTATAGCTGGGACAGGTTGTTTTAGTTTCATTCATTTGGCAGCAGTAGACAGATTCACTCTCTGCCCTGCACCAAGGGGCAGAAAGAAGGATAATGAAGAGAATGAAAACTTCATATGTGACTCATGAGAAAGTCAGAGATGGGATAATAGTCAGCAGAAACATTGTGCATATCTCCATGCACAACAGAGCTAGTACACGAGTTCTCTATTTTGATTTGTATTCTTAATCACCTCCATATCCCTTTCAGCTATTCCGGACTGTGGGGGCTACCTGAGCACTTTGGCAGGGTCCTTTACCAGCCCCAATTACCCAGAACCACATCCTGAGCTGGCTTATTGTGTATGGCACATACAAGTGGAGAAAGGTTACAGGATAAAGTTGGATTTCACAGACATTTTGTAAGTACTAAGGTCCACTGTCCCTGGAGAAAATGCAGTGAACTCATCTGGCAATTGGGGGACCAGTCTGGGAAAGAGAAATAGTCACACACAACCTCCACATGTGAGTACTTTTCAAAGCATTAATGCAGAAAAGCAAACACTTAACAATACTATTGCATTGAAGTTGGTTATTTTTTTCCTGAAGATTCTGAGGTTGCATCAGGGACTGAAAAAGTCCTGGGCTTGTGATCATAAACCTGAGATGCCATTGTAAGGAAAAATTCCCAATCACTTAAAAAGGGTAAGAGAAAACAGAACTGAATTAGTTTGAAAAAATTTTACACCAGTGGTCCTCATTTGTAGCCTGGAAGTAGATGACTACTGCAGATTTGATTTTATCGCTGTTTATGATGGCTCTTCCACCAACTCTGACCTGATTGGACAAGTCTGTGGTCGTGTGACTCCCACCTTCAACTCTTCCTCAGACTCCTTGACTGTTGTGTTATCTACAGATTATGCCAATTCCTACCGGGGCTTTTCTGCTTCCTATACTTCCATTTATACAGAATACGTCAATACTAGTAAGTCACATTTTATGATCCTTGCCTATTTTGAGCTGTGTGAACACTGCATACATAGAAACTGCTCCTTAATTCTTAGCATGTCAGTGGTTATCCCTGTGTGTAATATTGTCACATATACTTGGGAACATAGTCATAACCAAGGCTTGAGAATCAGTTCAGTACATTGTTTAATCGAAGAGGAAATAAATGGTTTATTAAACTGAAAAAGATTTCTGTAGAACACAGGAACTGGTTCCCTTAATGCCTTCTGCAAACCCACAGTTTAAAATATTAGATTTATAGGTTCTAGTCCCAAACAAGATGGCAGTGAACATTGTAAAAAGTGCATCAACTGGCTGACTATCTCAGGCTTCTAACTTCCATTTAGGGTAATATGAGTTTTGGCTTTTTATAGATTGTCTTCATATGGAAGTTTTTATTACCCAGGGTTTCTAGCTGTCACAAACATGATCATATCTCTCCCTTTTTTCCTGACAGCATCTTTAATTTGTGTCACTGACAAGATGAGAGTTATCTTAAGCAAATCCTACCTAGAGTCATTTAGTTCTGATGAGAATAATTTACAACTAAATGATCCAACTTGCAGACCTGAAGTATCAAATGTTGTGGAATTTGCTATCCCTCTGGATGGATGTGGTACAATTAAAAAGGTATAGTGAAACTCTGACAGCTGAGTTCTGTCAAATGCCAAGTGTATGCTGGTGATCCATGAGTGTAATGTTTCCTAGTCACTTTCACAAACTGCTGCCATTGCTCAGTCACACATCATGTGTGGACGTGTGACAGCATATACTCATTCACACACACATGCCAAACTGTCTTATTTATTTTCAGGCTAACTGGAGAGTGGTTATCATTCCCAGAAGGTAAAGAACTCTGAAAGCTCTCTGGAGAAAGTTTGAATGTCAACATGTTAGGGGTTTATCAGCCCATCAGGAATGCTTGTGTGGAAAATGTTTACAACTAATAGTTAGTTATAAAGATAGAAGGTGAAATATCTTTATTTTAAATTCAAAGAACTTTACTGTAACTGTGATTTGATCTACACATTCTAGAAATCCCATGTAAGATCTCAAACATTTTAAACTTGTAGGTCCCTGCAGGCTACATCCTGTGAACTTTTCACTCAGGATGTTAAACAACAGTCTAATTTAAAAGGATGGAGGCTATACCAGAGGAACTGATCAGCACAGAAGTGCCTCATGTTTTCTGTCAAAAATGACTACACAGACTTTATTACATTAGGGAAGAAGTCTGGAGAGCACCTACCTCAAGTTTTGTCTACGTACACACTAACTTGGTACTCCTTATGGAGGGAATGTGTCATAGGGGTTAAAGTTTTTATAGGGCTGAGAACTGGCATCCAAAATTGATTTTAATGTAACTGAGACAAAATTCTGTCCAATTCTCTCTTCAGGTCTCTCTAATAGAAGCTGTATCCTTCATCTCACATTTTCTTTCTTCCTTTCCAAAACATTTCTTTAAGAAAGTACATTTAAGGTTTACAGTACTTGACATGAAAGCTGTTAACTCATGAGTCAAGGAAATTTTGTCTCTGTCTACAAGTGTTATTATTATCTGTGCTCTAAAACATTACTAGACTTCTAAAAAATTTGAATTTTGTCTTATTTTACAGGTAGAAGACCATTCAATTACTTACACCAATATAATCACCTTTGTTGAGTCTTTGACTTCTGCAGTGATCACACGTCAGAAACACCTTCAGATTATTGTGAAGTGTGAAATGGAACATAATTCCACAGTGGAGGTGATGTACATAACAGAAGATGATGTAATACAAAACCAAAATGCACTAGGCAAATATAATACAAGCATGGCTCTTTTTGAGTCCAATTCATTTGAAAACCCTATCGTAGAGTCTCCGTATTATGTGGAATTGAACCAAACTCTTTTTGTTCAAGTCAGTCTGCACACCTCAGATCCAAACTTGGTGGTGTTTCTGGATACTTGTAGAGCCTCTCCCACCTCTGACTTTGCATCTCCAACCTATGACTTAATCAAGAGTGGGTATGTATTGAGAGAGTTCGTGTCTGATCTTTCTTCTCAGCAGTAATGATTTTAATAGAGTAATATTTTTGTATGTATCTCTGTATAAATTTTTCCAAGTTCCACTATCATGGAATTTTATTAAATTTATATCGATTATTTTATAAAACACGGTATCTGTATAATAGTTGCAAATAATTAAAATGAAAACATTTATGTAGATATAACCCATACCCTCTAGGATTCTCCTTTTCTTTTTTAAATCTTTTGGGATTTGAACTCAGGACTTTGTACTTGCTAGGTAGGTACTCTATCACTTGAGCTACACTTTCAGCCCTGTTGGTTCTGGTTACTTTGGAGACAGGGTCTTGCTTTTTGCCTAGGTCAGTCTGAACCAAGATCTCTCTATTTTATGCACCTGCTATAGCTGGAATGACATGTGCATGCCACAACCCCAGCTTTTTTCTGTCTATATGGGATCTCAAGAACTTTGCCCTGGCTACCTTGAACCATGATCCTCCGAATCTCAGCCTTCCAAGTGGCTAGGATTATAGGCATGAGCCACCAGTGCCTGGCTGCTCTAGAATTTTAAGTGTATTTCTAAAATATTTGGTAGTGGAAAATGAAATTTTTTTGTGAAGTCTCTATTTGCCTTTTTATTTTTGTACATTTTGGCTATTTTCAACAGAAACCTGTAAGGTTGCTTACAGGTTTGTGTGCCATCTTTAGAACATAATGTTATCTGGAAAATATGTGTAGCAGTCTTTAAAAAAAGTGTACATTTTTTTTGGAAGGAAAAGTTTCCTTCCCCTCCTAAAAGCTGATGGATTTTGAGTAAATCAGCCTTACTTATATATTGATAGCAATCATGTAAGGAAAGATATTTGGTGTTTTTTTTGTGGTACTGGGTTTAAACTCAGAACCTTACAGTTGCTAGGCAGGTGCTGTACGACTTGAGCCATGCCCTGTCCCTAGGAAAGGTATTTGAGTCCCAATACATTGGTATGGATTTTCTGATTAGTTCACATACACAGGAATTTCAAAGCAAGAAGGAACCTTACTATTTCACCCAGGAATCAGACCTATAGCTTTAGCTTCCTATAGTCTGAACTACAGATGTCTTTCCAGAGAGACTTCTAATTCACAAATTAGACAATTCAGCAATAGCCGAACTCTTTTTATCATCTTTTTAGTATAAAAAGACTGAGGTGGTGTGCTTCTTCTCAGTGTGTCCATAAATTCTGTTCTAGATGTAGTCGAGATGAGACTTGTGAGGTATATCCCTTATCTGGACACTATGGAAGATTCCAGTTCAATGCCTTTAAATTCTTGAGAAGTCTGACTTCGGTGTATCTGCAATGTAAAGTTTTGATATGTGATAGCAATGATGATCAATCTCGCTGCAATCAAGGCTGTGTCTCTAGAAAGAAAAGAGACATTTCTTCATACAAGTGGAAGACTGATGCCATCATAGGACCCATTCGTGTGAAAAGGGATCGCAGTGCAAATGGAAACTCAGGTAAGACAAAAGCTATTTCTTTTTTTTCCTCCTTTTATCATTTTTACATTTACTTACATGTGTAAATACTGTATGTGCTACCTCCTCGCTCACACCCCCATCCCCTCCAACACTCCCTTTCCAGGCAGAACCTGCTCTGCCCTCTTCTCTGATTATGTTGAAGAGAAAACATAAGAGATAATAAGAAAGACATATCGTTTTTGCTAGTTTGGGATAAAGATAGCTATACGGAGAGATTCCTGGCATTGCTTCCATGCACTTGTGTATTACAACCCACACTGATTCATCTCTGCCAGACCTCTTCACTACTTCCTGGTCTCCTTCCCATAGTGGCCTCTGCCAATTTAAGCTTACTTTATTCGCTCCTCAATAGGGAGCACATCAACCACATTCAAGTTTGAAGTTTCCTTTCCTTTCCTTATTTCTCCCATGCATGTTCTCCCCTTAGCGTGTGACCCATGTCCAATAATATTATTGCATTTGTTTTAGGTCTATAATCCATATATGAGGGAGAACATGCAATTTTTGGCCTTTTGAGCCTGGCTAACTTCGCTTAAGATGATGTTCTAGTTCCTTCCATCCATTTACTTGCGAATGACAAGATTTCATTCTTCTTTGTGGCTGAGTAAAATTCCATTGCATATAAATACCACATTTTCTTGATCCATTTGTCAGCTTGCACATCTTGGCTGTTTCCGTAGGTTGGCTATTGTGAATAGTGCTGCAATAAACATGGGTGTGCAGGTGCTGAAAAAAAGCTATTTCTTCATCTAAGAATATACATCATGGCTCAGAAAATGCTGCTCAAATCTAGTTGTTCTTATGTACAGTTTAGAGAGTTATAATAGAAGTTTTATCAAGTAAGAGATGAGTTTTAAGCATGCAGGATAAATGTTTACTTCCATCAGTTTACAATATGCACACCCCTCTGGTGTTAGCATGTGATCCATGTCACACTTTTATTCATATGACTTTTGGATATATGTGTAATGTCCTCATTTCTAAAAATAAATTTCTTTTAGCTTTCTAACTCAGAAGCAATGTATTTTAACTCCTAAACAAGTAAAACAAAATCAATCAGCATTCCATAGGATAGCCTGTTTGAAGAAAAATTGGTTTTAAAAAATATTCAATTATATTAACACAGTACAATGTAGTTTCTTTTGAAAGGATTGAAACCTGAAATCTGGCAGGTTACATGGGAAAAAGGCAATAGTAAATACTCAAGGATAGTCCACAAAGAAAATGGCCTAATATAAGCCATAATGAAATGAGAACTCCTGATGTAAGTGATTTTGGCATTAGAAAATCCTATCAAGTATGTCTTTTAGTAGTAGTAGCATGGACTCTAGGGAGTGATTCTGGTTCACAGCAAAATATTTCTATTGAAAAACAAGAGAGTGCAATCAAAAATTAAATTCAGCAATCTTTGTAAACAGATTCATGACAAGGCTTGCATGGCAAATCTATAGATACTAGTTCGAAATTAGTTGAAAATTTGTGGATGGAAGTCATAATGGAAATATCGAGGTATTTGAAAAGTATCTGTTTCCTGTTTCAAGAGACTAAAAAAGTTGTTTCCTTTAGAACAAATGTATATGACAACTGTGAGCTTTAGTGACCATTAATAAATGAATACTCACTTCCATTTGACAATTTTGTTTGAATTCCACGTTTTTTCCATGTGATATCAAGGAACCAAACTAAATCAACTATTTGAAAGAAATAAAGTAAAATGAACATAAACTAATGCAAATATTTGATAATCATTCCTCTATATCATGTTGCAATTGTGCATTAATTAATTCATAGGGTATAGAGAGATGTTGCAAATGTTACCATGATTTTGTAATACTAATTAAAAAATTATTTCCAATTACAGGACTCCTGCATCAAGCACATGCAGAAGAAGCTCAGAAACAGCCTTTCAATAGCTTGCACCTATTTTCATTCATGGTGCTTGCTCTGAATGTCGTGATTGTGGCCACTATCTCAGTGAGGCATTTTGTAAATCGACGCATGGACTATGAATACCAGAGGCTGCGGGGGCGCTACTAACTGTTGGGTCTCTCCTGGTAGTTCATTAGAAGACATTTCCCCTGGATATGGAAAGAAACGGTACCTTGTGTCTACATAAGCTTTGAATAAACAGTGATACACAGGCCTCGTGTTACTGTGACAGTGTGTTTCATTGAGGACTGAAAGAAATGAATATTATACCCATTAGCTCTCATCTTAGGAACTGAAGGCATCACATGAATTAAAACAAGCATCTCTTCACAAACATAGAACATCTGAACCAAGCATTAGATGAAAAGAAAAAGTTATTTTACTTATTCAGATCTGGTGGTGGTACACGCCATCTATTTAGGAGGCAGGGGCAGAACTGAAATTTCAAGGCCAGCCCAGGAAAAACTAGCAAGACTCTATCTCAAAAACAAAATAAAAACCAAAAAGACTGGGAGTGTAGCTCAAGTGGTAGAGCATTTGTCTAGCAAGCACAAGGCCCTGAGTTCAAACTCCAGTACTAGAAAAACAAAAGTCAGGTGCCTTTGTCTTTGAGATGCTAAATGAAACTTTCAAATATAAAATGTAAACAATAAATGGCAAATACGCTATGTTTTGAAAAGTCAAAAGTTCTCGTTTGAAATTCAAGTGCACCACCACCTCCTTGATTCCCATGCCTTACTCCTGGCAGACCTGCTCAGTGTTTCTCACCTCGAGCAGTTTAGAAAAGGGCTTTAGACAGAAGAACCTGACAATGAGATGCTGCATACAGTTACTGGGTTAATGAGATGGGAACATTTCTCTTCCCATTTAACAGGAGGCTGGAAAGATATTGTTAAAGACCCTAAGGTGGACTGATTTTATATCTGCCAAGGATTGAAGCTAAGCTAATTATGTCAGGTGAATAATACAACTCAACCATGCTACCTAACAACACTTTTAGGTTCTAATATAAATCTAAGCAGGAATCCACATTCCAGAATACCCAAAGACTTTCTTTCTTTCCTTCATGCTTCCTGTCTTCTTCTTATCTTCCTTCTTCCTGTCTTCCTTCTCTCTCTCTCTCTTTCTCCCTGCACTCCCACATAGACATGTATTCACACAGAGGACACTGGAAGTAATATAAGTGGATGTGGTAGAATCTTTCACAGAACAAGTCCTTAGGGGCCTGGTGGTTTTCCAGATCCAAATCAAGTCAGATCTTCCCCATTTTCTTTTCAGTAGCTCATGTAAGGGTAGGTGGTGGTACATGCCTATAACCCCAGCTACTCAGGAGGCAGAGGTAAGAGGATCATAGTCCAAGGCCTGCCTGGGCAAAATCATCAGACTTTATCTGAAAACAAACTAAAAAGGATTGGAGGCCATGACTCAGTGGCAAAATATTTGCCTAGCAAGCATGAAGCTCTGAGTTCAATCTTAGGTACCACAAAAAAAAAAAAAAAGACTCAGGTAGATCTTCCAAATTCTTCCCCAAGCAGACATGCAGTGACTCTCTCCTCTATATTTATCCGTATGATCTAAATTGTGAACTTTTTGGGGCTTGAACTCAGGGCCTCACACTTGCTAGGCAGGTGCTCTAGCACTTGGGCCACTCTACCAGCCCACAAACTTCTTTTTAAACCTAATATAAAATACCTAATATTTTAATTAGAATGGGCAGATCACAGTAAATACTTAAGACAGCCCAACATCTGGTTTGGTCTCTACACTTCAACCATCTCTCCATCAGGAGCTGACCAGATGTTCTCTACTGGCTACCATGGCAGGTAGTCAGGGGGATATTATAGTTTCAGGCACCAAAGTATAATTCTAAGAAAATTATCAAATACTGTGACTCACTAGATATTCATATTAGCATGAGTCAAAAAATCCTTTGTAGTAGAAATAATGAAGTATTCCAATGTGTTATCAGTACACAGACTCCCCCCACCTTGAGGAAGAACTCCAGTGAACGTCTTAGATCTAGAGTTGATGGCCTAGGTTCTAGTTCCTCCACTTTCCTGGTCAGGTATGCTATCTAAAACACCTTCAGCCCTCAGTCTCCACAAGTTAAAATAGGGGATGTTAGCAGATACCTCCCTGGGGGGTGTGGGAGGATTAGGAGAGAGAATTTATTAGTGATTGGGTCATCCGTGTTCTGCTTACTGCCAGTGAAGGACTCTCAGTTCTTATGCCAGAATCCCATGTTAGAATCTGCTTCCTTGGGACACACCTACTACTGTCACAGGTCAGGATCCCAGGACACAGAATGTACTCAGGGTCAAGCATTGTGAGGTGTGAGGGAAGTAAGACCTAGGGGCTGATGAACTAGAAAGTAGCTGCAATAAACAGGGCCAGTCAATTCTCTGGGGTGTCCTGGGGCTGAGCTGGCTGTTCAGAGATGGCCCACTGAGGCACAGGGCTCAGTCAGACCTTTATTTACCTCTGTGGTTAGTATTTGAATGAAAGCTGTACAAACTGGGGCTGTGAATTTGGATAACAGCTATCTTGGGCTGAAGGAAATTCCTGAGGAGAGGTGTCACAGAAAGCCACCAGCCACTAAAACTCCTAGCAGCTTAGCGAATGAGTGACTTCATCTTAGGGGCATCTGGGTGTAAACCCCAAGCACTTACTACCTCTACTTCCTAAAAGAGCAGGATTTTTCAGAATGTCTTGCAAGGCAAAATCTATCTCTGTGCTATATTCAGGAGACTTGCTTAGCAAAGCATTTCAAAAAGGCTACAAACAAGCTGGGCACTGCTGGCTCATACCTGTAATTCTAGCTATTTGGGAAGCTGAGATGGGGAGGATCATGGTTCAAGACCAGCCTGGCCAAAAAGCTTGTGAGATCTCAAATTGGGGGGAAAAGCTGGGTGTGGTGGTGTGTACCTGTCATCCCAGCCATGGTGGGAAGCCTAAAAAAATAGGAGGATTGTGTTCTAAGCCTGCCTGGGCAAAAAACCAGAGCGAAAAGGGCTGGAGGCATGGCTCAAGTAGTAGAGTGCCAGCCTAGCAAGTGCAAAGCCTTGAGTTCAAATCCCAGTACACACACACACACACACACACACACACGAAAGGCTATGAACAAAGGAATGGGTAATGGAGCACCAGACACATGAAAACTAGAGGAGCAGGGGTAGAATCAGGCTACTCACACAGTCTCTGCTGCTTTGATTGGGCTTCATCTCATTACTGCCAGGCAAGGGTGAAGTCCTGGCTCTCCACTGGGCCTGCTCTGACTAGCATGGAATGAAAGGATTACCCATCCTCTGAAAGGGGTGGAAATGAAAGTCCAGGCTCCCCATCAGGTTTGTGCCTGACAAAAGGGTGCAGGTGAGGTCCTCACTACCGTCTGGAAGTTACAAGCAACCCTGTCTCCATTCTGCCTTCACCCTGGTGAGGCTGAGTAGGAGAGAACAGGGACTGAGGGGAGGATGTGAAACTGAAACTAAGCTCCCAGTCAACCTTCACTGGCTGTGGTAGAGCAGCACTTGTGTTCTCTTGGTGTTTTGCTGGAGCAGGACAGTTTTCTGTCTTGGTAGGTCATCCCCTTACAGAGAGAGAGAAAGAGAGAGAGAGAGAGAGAGAGAGAGAGAGAGAGAGAGAGAGAGAGAGACAGGAGAGAATGTGCAGGCTTTTCTTGGGTCTTGTTTGGTTTGCACCCTTGGTGTTCCTTGACTGCAGGCTTCTCCCTCTTCAGGGCATGGGATGCTGAATAGTGGTCATGGCTTTTAAGCTTTCTTGTCCTAGGAGTCACTTGCAGTATTTTTAGAGAGGGCTGCCTTCCAGATCCAATCCTTTGAACCACACCAAGAGGAACTGACCTAGAAGTGTGTTTGGACTCATTTATTTATTTGAATATTACAGTTCCTTTATAATTAACATTTTTCACACCAGGGATTTGTTAAAAGTCACAACATGGTGGATTTTGGTAGCTGTTAGTTTCTACCTCCTTGACATGTTATGGATAGATACAGTTAAAGACAGACAAACTTTTAAAAGTAGAAACTGTAGCCATCTACGATTCCTTGGGAAAACCTCATTTTCCTTTGAAATATTTGCATGAAGTAGTAGATGGCCTAGGCTATTGTCACTGTTTTATGTGACTAAAGATGAAGCTACTTGGGGGCAAATAAGTAACTTTGACTTAAAGATGTCTTTTTCACCAAACCAGCCACTGGTCACATTTCGTCAATTTCTATGTATAAGTGGGGAACTTCATCAAAATAAATATTAGCATCATATTTTTATCAAGGCAGTTATCAATGAAGGAAATATTTATAATAACACTGAAATGCTCCCCTTGAGGCAAGACCCTTTTATGTCATTTTCACCACCCAGGACCTCAGGGTTAGCTCCTAGTTTCCACCAGACTCAGCCCTCCTCACTCTGCCACTTGACAACACTGTAGTCTCATCTCCTACACACTGTTTATTTACAAAGATCATAATCATTTATTGGAGATGGGGACTGAGATTTGAAATATTGCTACTGAATATATCTTGACAAGTGAAAAGAAAACACCCATCTGACTATGTTCAAGACTGGGCCTTAGAGATGACTTTGAGGATAGTGAGTCTAGCACAGGCCTCTTCCTGGCAAGGTAAAAAGGGAGATTGCAGAGATGCTATCCTCTTTTTCCAGGAACACAATGGAATATTCCAATCTGCCTTTGTTTGCTATTCAGGTTTCTGGTGCACTTTTCATGTTTCTCAGATGCACTGAGGTCTGGGAAACAGGCCTGGGTCAAAGAAATCTCAAGAGAACAAGATCACATGAGTAACAGTTGGTAGCTCAGAGGGCAGGCACCCTGGGTTCTTGATATTATGCTTTAGGCTCTCATTTGAAAGGTGAACTCTAAACCCAAAACAGTGGGGCTCTGCTTTGTTTCTGTTGAAACAAAACAGTTAAAACTTGTTTTGATGAATCAGGGACATATGTGATTCAACTGTCCTGTCTTAGAGTTTAAAGAAAAACGAACAGTCACTTCCTGATACAGTTTATTTTTCACAAGACTCTTGGCAATATCTGGAAATAAATTCTCACACCACCAGAGGAATAAAACCCTATCCTACCCAACTATCAGGATCTGAGTAATAATATCTAATATTTTGTATACTGTAAGACAATGATCGAGTTCTTGTGAAGCATTAGAAAATTTTTTAGCTTAGGAAGAGAGTAACTGCCTTAGAAGCTTAGTAATCAGAGAAGATTTATTTAGTAGCAAACCTCAGAGAAGCAATCCCCTCTGACTCTTTTGCCTGTCTCTACATGGATAACTTCTGCATGTATCAAATATCTTTTCCTTGAAAGAAATAGACTTTGCTTCCTAATTTCTAACAGGTTCACTTGAAAGTTGAAGAAATCACACCAGGGTCTTGCTGTGGCCAGATGCTCTGTGGATCTCCAGTGTCCTCACTGTCTGGAAATGCTCAGAATGTTTTTCCTTGGCCTCTGCAGAGACTGCACCTCTTCTGTTCCACCCTGCACAGCCCTGGGAGCAGCGAGAAGAATAGTCCCCTACTCTGCACACAGCAATCTTACACTGCAGATATACCACATCATAGCTGTCAAGAAAGCTGAAGGCATTGAACTTGAACTGGGCCACATTCTTCTGTGGGGAGTGGAGGTTGGTATAGGTATTGTCTTTGATGCACCTGGTGGGAAGAAAAGCCACAAGTCAAAAAAAAATTAAAGTCTGTGCAAATTTGCCTTAACCAAAATAATCAGGCTTAGCCACAGCTTCTGAATTCCAAAATGTAATTCTTTCCTCCAGTCTCTCTTTCTTTTATAATGGAACAATTACTACTATGGTCTTAGCATTACTATGAGTGGAAACCCATATTCCTGGCCATAAATAGAAGGGAACTGTAAAATAAATGCAATGAAAACAAAACATGGTTTTGCCTTTAGAAAGCCTACTCTATTTTGTTCAAAGGCAAGATTATATGTGGTATTATTATTTATATGTATTGTTTGAAGGCGAACTTAGATTATTTAAAATATGCATTGTAAACCCCAGGGCAACCACTGAAAAAGTTAAAGAAAGATGCCTAATTGATACATCAAGAGCAGATAAATGGAATCATACAAAGTGCTCAATTAAAACTAGAAAAAGAAAGAAATGTGGGGGAGAAATGCAATGAATAGGTGGTAGATTTTAATGTAGCTAAATGAATAATCACTTCAAGTATGCGTCTAAATATACCAGCTTAATCTTTAAGCTGAAGAAGAGTAGATTTAAAAATGTGTAATTATATATTGTCCATAAAAACCTACTTTAAATATAAAGGCACAGATAAATTAAAAATAGAGGGAAGAGAATGATATATCATGCTGATACTAATCAAAAGGAAGTTGCAAGTAGCTCCAATAACTTTACACAGCAAAAAACTTCAAAGCCGGGATAATTATCAGTGACAAAGTAGAAGGACACTACCTAACAATAAAGAAGTCAGCCCTCCAAGAAGACATCCTCAATCAAAATGATCAAGGTAAGGATTAACCTTTAATATGGTATAACAATCTTTAAAGTATACCTACAAACAGAGCATCAAAATACCTGAGCAAAACCCAGCAGAACTGCAAAGAGAAATTGACAAGTTCACTATTATAAGTGGATATTTCTGAGTCCTGAGAAAGTAGCAGGGAGGTAGGGATGGCATAGCAGAGAGATAAAACCTGAGAAATCTGAACATGAGGAAGGTCATGTAACACCAGGGAGGGAAAAGTCACGTAGCACTAGGATAAAGTAGCCAATAAAATTAAATATAATCATATATGCTTTTTTCTTCTGTTATCTGCTTGCAAGGGTATATAAGGTAAGGCCCCTTTGTTCTCAGGGCTCAGTCTTTGGACATAAGTCCTCTGAGTCTGTGCTGGCACAGTAAAGCATTGCTTCCTGCTATTTGACTCAGAGTCTCGTATCTCAGCTAGGAAACTCCTGCAACATTTCTTGGGGGCTCATTATCCAGGATTGTGGAGATGGTGAGTTATTACTTCTTGTGTCACCAGGGTGCAGCCCCCTGGACTGCCAGGAGGAGATCCCTGCAGGTATTAACAGACAGCTTGATCCTGAGGGGGATTCATCCTCCTGGTGAATCAGGGTGAGGGCCTTGGATGTACAATGGAACCCAGTGAGGTGCAGGAACCAGTGAGGGGAGGGGAATACCACTCATCAGATTGGTAAGAACTTGGGTTCAAATTCAGGCCTGTCCCAGGAGGCAGAAGGGGAGACTGATCACCTCCCTATGAGAAACCCTAGTAACTGCCTTTTTTGGGGTGAAACCGTGTTTCTCAGGTTCAGGGAACAGGGTGGAAGTGCTGTGGTATGTGAGAGTATATGAAAATGTGAGCTGAGACGCAGCCCAGCTGCAAAGTGAGTGACACTTTCCCCACTCTGTGTCTGTCTGGCAGTCTGGTAACAGGAGGAGATGGGTGGAAATTAGAGTAAAAACACTCCCTTGGAGTGTATCATTAATAACTTTAAAAAGGGATTTAATGGAGACTATGGAGTTAACTCAACTCCTAACAAGCTAAAGGTCCTTTGTGAGGTAGATTGGCCTGCTTTTGGTGTAGGATGGCCCCTCAGAAGGGTCACTAGATAAAAGTGTGGTTAATGAAGTTTATGGAGTAATTGTAAGAAAACCCCTAACACCCAGCAAAATGGGAAAAGCCAAGAGGCTAAAATTGGTCCTCAAAAACCAGACTTTGCTGTTTATTTAAATTCAGGTAGCAATTTATTGGGTGAGCTAAGGAAAAATCAAAGTCTTTCAGTCTTGATGGGTAGCTTAGGTGCTCCAGTTTGCACATCTTCACCCAAAATGGGCATCCTGAAGGAGGACTGAGGCTCAGCACTAACTGAGCTCTTACAAAAATTAACACATGAAGGATGGACTTGCACTGATACATAAGATCTGGTCAGACTTAAAAGAAAATGAATGTTGCAGAAGGGTTGTGAATGTAGACAGCGGGAAGTGGAGGAATTGAAACAAAATTGGGATGAGCTCTTCATGGATGAAGCAAAGAGAGAGCGAGAGAGAGAGAGGGGAGACAGAGAGAGAGAGAGAGAGAAAAGAGAGAGGGAAAAGAGAGAAAAAGTAAAATGTCATGAAATGTTTGGCGATAGAAAGGGATAAAAGGTTTACTATACTCCTTCAGTTGAGTTTTTATGTCTTAAAAATAAAAAGTAAACAAAAAAGTTAAGATTACTAAAATATGCCAGGAATACTGATATTGCTGGTACTTTTACTTCTAGGAAGCATAGACAGCGAGAACCTACCTAAAAGGGTGAGAAAAGGAGCAACTTTGACTGTTGCTTGTAAAAAACTGTTCTAAAATGTTGGTGCAATAAGCTTGGTCTGTTATTGAGACAGTCATGAGATGCTTATGTTTCCCTTGCTATGGCTGGTCAGATTATACATCCATCTAATGGTGTGCTCACAGTGTGCGTGTATGTGTAAGCATTTTCAAAATGGTTCTTAAACTGCAGCTATAAGGTTGATATGATACTCGAGGTAACAAAAAATGAGGGTATTTGTTTTACAGATCTCTGTTATAAACTGCTTAGGCTTTTTACATATAAATATGTGAACATCTTGAGAACAGTTGTTATTATAGAGTCAATGTAAAAAGTTATTACTCTGTTCTACTGCTACTTTTTAAGAAAAACAGGTTTTCAACCTTATTTCAATCAGGTCTCACTAGGATGCAGGCATTCAGGGGTTAACACTATAGCTCAGGCAAGAGGGGGGAAAAAAAGAAAAGAGGGGCCACAGCCTGCAGTAGGAATCTTGGAATTTGAGTATTTAAAGAAATGACCTTCACATGTTTCATTCTGTCATAAATACAATCTGGAATTTAATTTTCTCTTATAATACATGGGTCTATTAACAAATGGGCTTTCTACAAATTGCTTTTATACAAAAATAATTTCAAGGTTGCTTTCTTTCTTACAAATGTAAGGCTCTAAGTTAAAAGATTTTATGAGTTATTCTCTGTTTTGTTTTTTTCTTTTTGTTTTCTTGCAGTGCTGGAGATTGAACCCAGGGCCTTGCACATGCTAGGCAAGTGCTCTAGCTCTGAGCTACATCCCCAGCCCAGTTATGAGTTATTCTCGACAAGCAACAAAAATATATAAAAAGTATTAAGGATATGGTTTTTAAAAAGTAAAAGGTAAAAAAATACTTTAAGATAAAAAAAGCATAAAGACAAGCTCCCCCAGGGGATACAAAATAAGTTGTCATAAAGGTACAGAGTAAGTTGTCATAAAAGATGGAGCTTATAGATGCTTATGTAAGTGATTAACTAAAATCCAGTTGCATAAAAGGTTTTGTAAGGTCAAAATTTAATGTACTGATGTTAAACTAAAACTTAACTCTCTAAGCTCATAACAGCAAGGCTACCTTTAAAATATTGTATTGTTCTTGATATCTTTTACAAAAAATTGTCTTAAAATGGTTTTTGTTTTGTAAAGATAACTGTCAGTAATTTTTGGTGCTACAGGTTAATCCACAAATTTGTCAAGACAAAAAGAGTTTATTAAAACAGAGAAACAAGAGGCAGCTGAGCACAGGGAATACGGCTGCACTGATGTGAGGGTTAGGACAAATTTACTTATGTAAAGCCAAAGTGCACCCTCAAGATAGGATAAAAAATACTCAAAATGGAACACAACACTGGAAGTCAAGACCTCCAGTTTTTACTGGAATCAACAGAGTGGAGATGTTAGTCCTACTCCTTCCACATGTTGGATGGAGGGAATCTTTGCCCCAGGATGGCCAGATCGGGCTGTTATTTTAGGGCGGCTCCGTGGGGTACAGGTTGGTGGGCTCCTGCTGTGTGTCATGAGCCATCTGTTAATGTCAACAATCTGGGATGTGATTCCTTATCAACATCTGAGTCATGATTCTTGGCCATTAGGTTTCCTAACTCCATACTACATACTAAGTATGTGCTCTCTGGTGATTTTTGTCGGGGTTTTAACTACTAAGGTAACTGAGTCATGTTCATTTAAGAGTGGTTTATGTTGGGGTAAACAATGAAGACAGCCATGTCAGGACTAGATCCCCTCCCTTTTGCTGATGGCTCACCTTCATCTCCCTGGATAGATGCCAAGGACAGTTGGACAGACAGTGACCTAACTACAACTTATCTTTCTTGGTTGCCCAGCATATCCCTTTGACCTTCCTGGTACTTTTCCACTAGCCCCCTACATCTAGCCCAAGCCTGTGTATGGCAATGGTCTCTAGCTCTCTTGCTGGGGTCTCACTCCACAGGGTTCCTGCCTAAACAATAAACCTTGTACTGGTCTCTCTGCCTCTTCCATGCCTCTTATTTTCTAATAGTTTATATAAAACTTTGTAGATGACCTCATGGTTAAACAACTGTTATCTTGTGTGATTCTAATACATTTGGCACCCTATATGTGTCTGTGACTGTGCTATTTGGGTTTACTAAAACGTTCTTTCCCCCTACAACTGATAAAAATCTAAGGTTTTACTTCAAGAACAACTAAACTAATATGTATATATAACCTCTATAGAGTTGTAATGCTGTTGCTGGTTCCTATATATTAAATATATTTATGTTTTTCAAGTATATCAAGCCTTCTAAAATACAAAATTTAGATAAACATGGTAACAAAAGTTAATGGTACTGATATACTGTTCTGTTAGTTGCTAAATTGTCCATCAGAATTTCAACCATGACTGTTAAGTTTTTGTCATTACAGTTCTGATCCTTCTGGGGAATTTACAATCAAGTCCATAAAAAAATGACTCTAATAACTACTTATGTGTCAACCAGGTTAGCTTTTTAGACATCTGCTTTTGTTAGATTTTGTTTTGCATTGTCCTTATCTAGCCTGCTGCCTAAGAGCCACCCCTTCTAAGCCTCTATGTTGCTTAAATTTGGCCAAAAGGGTCAAGTTGGCACTGAGTCTCACCTGATCTGTTCGTTATTTCCACCCACCCCCCAACATGCATGGGACCAAAACTAACCAAGCACACAAAATCCAGAAAAGAGCAACCAGTCAAGAACGATCTTCAGTCTGAGCCCATATCACCCTGAATGTGCCTATCTCGTCTGGTCTCAGAAGATAAGCAGGGTCAGGCCTGGTTAGTACTTGGATGGGAGACAAATCTTCAAAAGAGACTTCTCAGAGACAAGCAGTTTGGAGACAAAGGGGGGAATGCCATCAAAGTTCACATGGAGTCACTCATGCCAGACCTCTCAAAAGTAACCAAGGCCGAGAAGATTTAAGAAATGGTTTTTATACATGTGTGGCTATCTGGCATTAAAGGCCTTCCAGACACAAACTCATATTTTTAGACAGGGTCTTCTACTTAAATAGAGACAAAATAACTATTTTTACTGAATCTAAACATGCTCTTTGATACTTAAAGACAAAGGTTTTAACTTTTGTTTTTTGATTTCACAAACACAAATTCAATGGGAAGAAATCAAGCCCCAAAGAAAATATATCGTATAATTCCACTTACATAAAATCCAAAATCTTCTAAAACTAATTAAAACAGTTATGATAGAAGCTAACTTTGGATAAAAGGGAGTAGTGATTGGGAGGAAACAACAGGAGGATGTCTGACGGTATCAGTGATGGTGTAGTTTTGAACAAAGCCCTGAGGTTTGAACTCAGGGCTTTGTGCTTGCTAGACAGTTGCTCTACCACTTGAGCCACACCAGCCACAGCCCTTGGTTTTAACTTTTTTAAAACAACACGTTTTCTTGGACAAATATACTGATAATATATTGCTGCCATGGTAATTCTACTCAGTTAAAAAATTGTCTAAAAAAATAATAAATAAAATGTCCACCCATTAAAACCCCATTGGAAGGGCCCTTTTGTTGTCATCTTGTCTACTACTCCCACCACAGTTAAAGCAGCAGATATTGCTCCTTGACTCCACTGCAGTTGAGTCAAGCCAGCTTCTCTTGAGTGAAAATGCATCCCTGATCCAGCTTCACCACAAAGGATCACCCTCCAGAACCCGAACATCCTCCCTCTGCAGGACTCCACTTCCCTGGAGACAACAGGGGACCAAGAATGTAGGGGCAATAGCCCTGCTCTAGTCACTCTGGAAGCTGACTAGTCTACACATAGCAGAAGCTTGAGGAGTCAACTTTCCAATGGGACAAACGGGTTGATTTTCACACCAGTTATCTCACTGTACTGCACTGTCATCTCTTGTCTGTATCTGTTGCTGTAGTTTTCACCCTGGTTGTTGCCATAAGCTTGGCAGAAACTGCCCCCACTGATTGGTCTTATGGTGAAAGGTTTTTCTTTGGTCCCTTCTCTTTTGAGCAGGATGCATAATTTTTATTGTTACTGATCTGGTTTAATAAAGGACAAAATACACAGCCCTCTTTCACAAGAGAAAAGCTTCCCTTAATTACACCTGTGACACCTGTGACTCTGTAAATTTTACTGTACTTAAGCTATCTGATTAAACACAGGGAAAAGTAATTAATATAAAAATAGATAAAAAGGGTCTTGACCCTGAGAGTCTGATGCACCTCAAATTAGTAGCTGTTACCCATGGGAGTTCCTCATACCAAGTTTTTCACTCCTTTTAGAAGGAAGAGTGAATTTTCCATCTTTATCAAAGCTAAAAACTTGTTCCTCTCACTGGCTGAGTCTATAGCCCAGACACTGAATGTCACTTCGTGCTATGTTTGTGAGGGAGCCAACATGGGAGACCACTGGGCTTAGGAAAAAGATGACAAATGGCCTCCTGATCGAATCATCCAGTACTATGGTCCTGCCACCTGGGCAGAAGATGGGTCCTGGGGCTATTGCACCCCTATATATATATATGCTTAACCACATCATCAGGCTGCAGGCTGTTGTTGAAATTATAACTAATGAAACTGCAAGAGCTCTCGATTTGCTGGCAAAACAAAGGACTAAGATGCCCAGTGCCAGCTATCAAAACCACTTGGCTTTAGACTATTTGCTTGCTTCTGAGGAAAAATAAGTTTATAAAAAATTTAACCTAAACAACTGCTACTGACAAATTAATGATAAAAAAGTTTATAAAAGGGATCACAGACAAAATAAAAAAACTTGTCCATGTCCCCGTACAGACTTGGAGAGGATGGAATTGCAATAATCTGTTTTAAGGATGGTTTTCTGCCTTAGATGGATTCCAAACCCTGATAGGGGTAATGGGCCTAATTCTAAAAACATGCTTAATACTGCTCTGCCTGGCTCCCCTGGTGCTGTGGCCTATCAAAACTATCATAAAGGCCATTATAAAAGAAAAACGGCCACACATGTAATAATGCTATAAAAATAAACTCCTAAATAAAGATAATGCTCTTTGACCCTAGGTGGGTCCAAGCATCAAAGGGGGGGAACAGAGGATCAGAAAAAAGCAGACTAGTCCTGAGTCCTGAGAAAGTAGCAGGGAGGTAGGGATGGCATAGCAGAGAGATAAAACCTGAGAAATCTGAACATGAGGAAAGTCACGTAGCACTAGGATAAAGTAACCAATAAAATTAAATATAACCATATATAGATTAGGCCTTGTTTTTTGCTTCTGTAACCTGCTTGCAAGGGTATATAAGGTGAGACCCCTTTGTTCTCAGGGCTCAGCCTTTGGACATGAGTCCGTGAGTCTGTGCTGGCACAATTGTTGCTTCCTGCTATTTGCCTCAGAGTCTCCTATCTCAGCTAGCAACTTCTTGCAATAATAAGATACACCTTTACAAATTAAAAGAATAATATTCACACAAAACACTCTCAGATAACAATGGGTTTAAATGAGTAATCAAAGAAAGAAATACTTGTGGAAAATTCCCAAATGTTTGAAAAGTAAACAACACACACACTTTTGAATAACCCATGAGTCAAAGAAGTCTCAAGAGAAATTTTTAAATATTTTGAGTAAGTGAAAATGAATATCCAACTTATCAAAATTTGTGGACGCAGCTAAGGTAGGACTTAGATGGAAATTCATAGCATGGTGTGCCTATATTAGAAAAGAAAGTTCTAAAACTCAGTAATTTAGCCTTTAAAAATTAAAGAAGAAAAAAATTAAACTTAAAGCAAGCAGAAAGAAAGTGTTGGTTGTTAAATTCTATCAGCAAATTGAACTTCTTGCCTTAATATATTCAGAAGGAGAATTGAAAGGGAGGAACTTTCTTTCTTTGGGATTCTGGGCCACTTCTGTCCACTTCTCATGGTGGGCTCACACTATCTGTGTTTGATGCTGTCCTGCTCCTTTGGAAGGAGGTACCACAATGATTTTCATGGGCTTTAGGCTGCCATGAGGCGCCCTTACTGTGCTAAAGCTGCCACTGAGGGAGTAATGAGTTGTTTATGATCTGGTTGCCAGTTCCTTGTTGTAAACATTTGGCTCCTGATAGAGAACCAAAGATCTATAATGGCAAACAAGGTGCCAACGTCCTAACTTAGCAAAACCAGTTGATTAACCAAAGGAACCAGAAGAAATCTCAACTAGTACTACTAATGGGGAGGTCATCAGCCTCTAAAGGTAAGCTCAGAAGGCCTGCACCATGAGTGGGAAGTCTAATAAGGTTCTCAAACTAGAAAGGAAGGGAGGCATGAGCTATAAAGGAAGGGTGGGCCTGCAGGATCCAGGGCAGCAAGGGTCCTGTCAACAAGGAAGGGCCTTCTGTTTTCCTTACCCTTGCCGGATCAAATCGTATGTGACAGTTGTAAAATCACTGGGATCTGGAGAAGCCACACAGGTATCCACAAAGAGCCTCAGGTTGGGATCAGAGCTCTGGAGGGTGGCCTGGAGGAAGACCTCTTTCTTCTGATTAGCATAGTGAGGCACCATGCCTCCTACATGCTGGGACTCAGGCATTTGGAGGAACAAAATGGACACATCATAGTCAGCACCCTCTGTCCGGGCATCAGACCCATGAAGGATTTCAGCTTTGGATGAGCCGTCCACTCTGCAGGTGAACTTCACCTGGGGCACTTTATGCCTCACGATGACTTGGCCAGGGTGGCCTCGCACTCGGCCTCTGATGGAGTTGGAGTAGCTGAGGGAGCCAAGGTGCTCCTGTGAGGATGAGAGGAGAGTTGGTGGACAGTGCTCTCAGTCCCCTGATAACACCTCCTCTCTTGAGTGGAGACCTGGCTTTCCTAGCTCCGCTTAGCACCAGCTTGTCAGTGTGCTGGAGGCCAGGTGTCTCTGGCTGACCTCTGTGATGCTTAATTCCATGAGGGGGTGACATCATGTGGGAGTGCATGTGAGGAGGCCTCAGTAGGTGGAGATCCTGCCTCCTTTCCTGCAAGGACCAAGCTGTGGAGCTATGAGCTAACTGCCTGGAGCTCCCTCTGTCTTGGATTTCTGCATGCATTCTATTCCCTCAGCTACCCCCAGGTCCTCACCCTGCCCTTGACTTGAGGCCTGAGGCTCGTTTCCCCCAGGGCTGGACCTTCTGACCTTGGCTACCAGCCTTGCTCCTTCGACTCCAGCATAACTTGCAGGAGCTGAGGGGGAGCTGATGGCCTAATGGGCAGGAGCCACTTATTACTACAACCTGCTTCCTGTGGTATGTTGGACACACAGAGGATCAGCCTGACCAGGGACATTTTCTGGATGAAACAACAGCTTATGTGGTCAGACCCTGAGACTTTCTGTCTCAACCCTTCAAGGACTGCTCTCTCAGCTGAGACCAGTGATTCTCAAACTTTTTCCATCATACCCCTTGAACACCTTTGTTGATGTTTTCTTTCCTAGTCATCTTGCTCTCTCTCCAGCCTCGACTATGAAATTTTAATACAACAAATATGCTGTTTCTGTACTATATAAGGATTGCAGTTTACCCATAAAGAGAGACTCGATTGCTTTTCCCCCCTAAGAACCAATAGCTCTCTCTCTCTCTCCTCACTCTTGAGGGTGATCTTGCCTTAGTGAGAACACACAGTTTAGAATGAAAGCCAAACTCCGTGGCCACATGGCCTCATCCTTCTCCTGGTCTGACTGGGGACTTCTGGCCTTAAGTCTCTTCCTTAGCTCTCCCACCTTCAGGCTTGAGGTGGCCTTGGCCCTATGCCAGTTGATGCCTTGTATGGAGCTCTCTTCCTCCCCTCTACTTGGCTGCCTGACCTTACAATTCAGGCTTGACTCCTTAAACCTCCCCCCACCACACACATTCTATTCAAAATGGCTTCCTTTCCATCACAAATCACTCTCTCCTACCCCATTCCTTGGTTTAGGATTTTCTTTACCCTCTTTCCTATAAAGGAGACCATCATCTGTGTTTTTGTTCAGTGCTTATCGACCTCTCTTTGAACATAGGTGCATGGAGCAGGGACTTAGGATCTTGTCACTCACTTATTTGACTCCTTCCTATAACAATGATTTTCCTCAGGGTGCTCCTGATTAACTGTTATGACCTCTGACCTCAGCATTGTGAATGGCATATGGGTCTTTTTGACTGGGCTGGCTAAGGTCAGAGAAGACATTTGCTGGGTTCTCCCTATGGCCTACAGTGTCCAGAGGCTTCTCTCCTCCAAGACACAGGGGGACTTCTAGCATGGCCTCTGGGACAGAAATCTCTGAGGCACAATGTGGTAGTTTTAGAGCAAAAAAGAATAGGAACAACCATGGTCTGCCCAAACAATTACCAGACAAAAAACAAAGCACGTAGTTAGAGTGGACCATCACGTGGAGCACATTTGAATGAATATGACCCCTAACAGTGTCAAGTAGGCTTTCGTGGGTATCTAAACAGGGATGCAGAAGAGTCACACCTTGAAACATGTCACATTGTTAAATATGCTGGGCAAAAGAATGTCATGGTTATATTCTTCCTTCTCTTTGATGTTCTTGTACTTAATTTTAGTGCAGTTGTTTTGTGAAATAAGCAGGTGGTGAGGAAAAACTAAATAGACACATATATTACATTACTCATAAATGTCCTAAAGGTTTGCTTTTCAGACTGTGGTTAGAAACACAACAATCAGACAGACAGACATACCCAGAGATTGCACATGGTAGGTGTGCCCTAATGCTCAGTCAAGAAGCATATTGTAGCCAGGCATGGTGGCACATGCTTGTAATCCCAACACTAAGGAGGCAGAGGCAGGAGGATAGTGATTTCAAGGCTAGCCTTGGTAACATAGTGGGTTCCAGGCTAGTCTAGGCTATGAAACCTGCCTTTAAAAATTGACAAAGGAAAACAAAAACAAAATGAAGCATGTTGTGAGAATTTGTTAAAGCACATCCCATGTTCAACTTGTGTCCTAAAGTCCCTGAAGGAAGTTTCCAGACATATTAAGAAGCTGTTCTTGGTTTCACCAAATTCAGAAATGAAGTCAAAGCTTGTGTCCTTCCTCTGTCCCTATACAGGTGTTTAGCAGACGGTTGACTTTTTCAAGCCTCTCCTGTCAGCCTCCATCCACAGAAGGGTACTACTGCTTTGTCAGTTTCTCACCTGCTGGACAGTGCCACAGTGGCCATAGGGAATGTTGAAGATCAGGTAGCGCCCAGTGACTTGGGGGCGACACATCTTATCATTTAAGTGAATGTCCCAGGAGGAGTAGCCCAGTCTCCGGAGATAGCCTCGGTCAATGACAGCTTGGAAGAGGTGAGGCAAGCAGGAGAGCTGGGCTGCAGAAGGGGAGGAAGGGAGAGCTTCACAAAGAGAAGCTGGTGCACTGGACGTGTAGGTCAGGGTGGGGGTACGTTCACTATCTAAAGCACCACAGGAAGTGCTCTGGACTGAGGCTGCCTCAGCTCTCTTCAATCTACACCCTTGACATGACTTCCTTTGACTTTATTCTCCAAAAAGGCTTTGAAGTCTCAGACTACATCCATAGGGAACCTGACTCATGGCACATGTCCCATGGGCTGTGAGCCAGAGGTTTGCCCAGGGATTTAAATGGACAACAGCTCATTCCCATGTTGAGAACACCAGTGCTTGAACACAGTCAGCTGGAAAAAGTGGAAACAAAGTGGGAGGGAGCCTGGGTGAAAAGGGTCTTCTTTCCTAACCCCCAAACCCCACAAGTGAATGGGAACACAAGAGCTCTCAGTGGGACCTATTTTTGGTTCTCCACTCATCTGCTCTTAGCTCCCGCTTTGATGAGCCTCAGACCCCAGAAGGGAACATGACTTTACCATTGTCCTTGGGTACAACAGAGTCAGCTGGACCTGTGGAGGGAGTGAGATGATGAAAAACACATGTCAGTGTTTCATGAAGAGGATGATGTAGCTAGCCCTAGACAAGGTATCAGCCCTGCAGTACAGTGGTCTGAGGCTATTCCAGGGCATGCAAAGGAAAGGAGGGCGCTGGGCCTTCTGGTGGAGCATGTGTCAAATAGTGTTGTGAATATTGATGCCATCAACACAGAGATTTTTGGAGCAAGAGAGTAGTAAACCAGCGCTTCAAAGGTTATAAACACCATCACGTGTCTGCCATCTTGGCTGGTGTGGCTTTCCAAGCACACTTGGGACCTCTAGCTGGAGAAAAATGGACTTTGTGGCTATCAAGGGCTTCTCCAGCTCAAAGTCAAGACAGAACAGTGTCCCAGGGCCAAGGCTCAGCCCATGAAGTGCTGATCACTTCATAGTCCAAAGAGATAACCTCTTTGGACACTCAGGACCCTAAACCACTGGTCCTTCAGACACAGAACTAGATGAAAGAAAGTCCCGTTGGCATGGAGTCCAAGAATGGAAAATGGACTGTCATGAGAATGGGTCCTCTGACATGGCAGGAACTGCAAACAGACAGAACAGAGGAGGCGCTGGGGAGAAGCCTCGGGACATCCCCAGGGACCTGGAACCGTGTGCGGGGGAACCTGGTACCTGCGCAGATCACGCCCGCATCCTCCTCGTGGTGGGGGCGACAGTTGTGTCGCGCCCAGCCCGCATGAGCGCAGCGCTCCAGCGCGTCTTCCGCGCCGGTGCAGCGCACGTCGTCCAGCAGGATGGGCCCTGAGCCTGGGCCGAAGCGACTGCGACCCGGGGCGCCCAGCGCGCGGCCGCAGCCCAGCAGGCGACACACGACGCGGGCGTTCCTGATGTTCCAGAGGTCGTCGCACACCGTGCCCCAAGCGCCCTGGTGCCGCACCTCCAGCCGGCCCTCGCAGCGGCTCCTCCCGCCCACCAGGCGCAGCGGCGGGTCTGCGGGGCAAGAGCAGTCGTCAGAAGTCCACAGTCACCATGGACATCATCACCATCTCAGGGTGTCACTTGCCATTTGTAATAGGAAGACTAAGACTGGAATGAGTTTCATTCCCAGTTTTACTGTTCTCTCTCTCTCTTTCTCTCCCCCTTCCTCTTTCCCCCTCCCCTCTCTCTCTCCTGCTCTAAGTGACTCATCAAAATATGTCTTATGAAATTACTTTTTACTCTTGATGAATAAGAGGAATATTTTAACTATAAAAGCCATCAGATAACCTGTCTGTTCCACTCCACACCATGCACTCAAGATACATGAAAACCTAAGTCCACAGAAAGATGAGGGCAGGCAGGATTCCCCACAAGAGCCCCAAGCTGGAAACAACTCAAAGGCCCATCCACACAGTGGATAAATTATGGTATATGCACACAGTGGAATATGGCTAAGCAATAAAAGGAGCATAGTCACTAATTCATGGGAGCACATGGACAAGTCTCAAAAGTTACTTAAGTAAAAGAAGTCAGATACAAAGGGTATGTATTATTTAATTTCATTTTTCTGGAATTCTAGAAAAAGCACATCTAAACTATAGGGGAGGATGAGAGAATTACTGCAAGGGGGCATGGGGGAACTTTCTTGGGTGATGGGAAGGGCTTGCATTTTGAGAGGTTGTGGTTACCGAGTTGCATACATTAGACCAAACTCATAGATATATGCAATCTCTTGCATATAATTAATGCTTCATGAGAGCCAGTTTTGAAAGTAAAGACAGTAAGAAGTAAAACCCATACAGTCATGTGTTTCTTAACAACGGGGATACCTCCTGAGAAATGTGTCACTAGACAGTTTCATTGTGCCACATTGTAGCGTGTGCTACAAAGGAGATGGCTGCAGTTTAGTGAGCAACATAATCGTAGGGTACCACTGCCTGTGGTTGAGCAAACCATCTTTATGGCACGTGTGATTGTGTTGTGTTGACAGTGCCAATCCCACAGACATGTGTAAAATGATTTTTCTTCATATTAGTTGGTCTGTAGTGAGTGTACCTTTCAGTTTCCTGCACTGTTTGGCACATGAAAGAGGCTTAGGGAATGTTAATAAACTCACTGGCATTGGCTTCTCTGATTTGCAGCCTGCTGGTCTAGGATGACTACTATCTCTTGGCCTTAACTGGGCTGCAATATTGGAAGCAAGGTAACTGTGCTTGCATGAACTATGAACATGGGGGGAAAGTGTAACTCAGTAGTAGAGGTCTTGCTGACATGCATGAAGCCTTGGGTTCAATCCTCAGCACTGGGAAAAAAATGTGATATTTACAAGGCCCTGGGTTTGATGCCCAGCACTGCCAAAAAGGAATAAGAAAAAGGAGGAGGAAGAAAAAGAAAAGGAAGAGAAGAAGAAAAAGCATGAACTCTGAATACAGGTAAATGGCTTCTGAGTGACATGTTGGGATGTAAATTTTGGGTGATTTCCAGCCCACAGACTGTGTTTCTCTTCACCTATATACTTATAAGCCCATAATTTTTTTCTGTAAGGAATAGGAAATTTAAATGAAAATGACATCTCATCTCAATAATATTTATTAATAGATCATTTCAGTAATTAGAAACAAACAAAAATTACCAGGCAAAGGGACCATTTCTTCATCAACTGAAATTGTAACTGTAAGAAAAATAATAAAAGCTTTAAAATGAATACCCTCAAAGTCATGTATTTCTGTTCAAAGATGAAGAACCAAATATTTAGACACCAATGATTTTTTTTTTTAAGTTTTTACTTTGGTTTGAGTGCAGAAATACTACCCATTAAGTTTTATTTTCTTGGCATCAAAATGTAACAAGTGGTGTTATATCCTATTTATTCTACAGAAATAAAAGAATTTGTTAAGTAGTTGTAATAGAAGTTTCATAAATATATTGTTTTGAGAGAAAGAATAAAACATGATCAGATTTTATAAGAAACATTTTATAGGACTGAAAATGAATTGAAGAAAAGTGAAGTCAGACTTCTCAGACATATTTTTAGAAGAGAGGCATAATAATTCTACATTACACTATGCAGAGGGAAGCCAGGTAGGAAAATTAGCAAGACTTCATGATAAAAATATGGTGGTATAAATGATAGAACTAAGCTTTAATCTAGCAACAGCATGTGATCATTACCAGGTAATGGTGTCACTTTTGTCCAATTTGGATCTGTGGCTGCCAAAAAAAAAATAGTGAAAAAAAACCATTAAAATTTGGCTTCACTGAAATTTTACACTGTAGACTAAAAGCTTGTGAGAACAAGTCTCTTTCATAAGAGCTATGCATTTATTTCGTCGATAAGCACTTGCAGGCATGAAATGGTGCATGACAAATTGGCATTTTCCAAGATGATCAAGATTTAAACAGCTGCAGTGCATCAGGTAATTGACATCTCTAATCTTTACAAAGCCTAATCCAGGTAAATATTGTCACTATGTTACAGGTGAAGAAATGGAGACTCAGACGGATTGTATGGCATGCCAACCAGGTCATCCACACTTCACTCAAAACACATATTCTTTTAATTTCTCTGCTTTCAGGAGCATAAAATGTGAGAGTTGCATATATCCTGGGCTCAGGGTGGTGAAGCAGAGATGAGGAAAGAAGGTAAGGGTTTATGGCCACCACACCTGTCTTCACACTTCAAGAAGCACTTTCTGCAAAAACAGGAAGTGATTTGGGCTGTTATGCTTTTATAAAGGAAGTAAAACATATGAGTGCCACCTAATCTGTGTAAAAAGTACCCAGTGACGATCAACAAGGTCTACAAAGAAAAGTTCGCCTTGTGTGATGTTAAGATCAAGTAAGAATTACAAATGAATGAATCTTCTGGCAAAAAATGGATTCATGGTGGAAGGCAGAGAGAAGGAAGAAAGTGAGGAAATGAGGGATGGAGGTAGGGAGAGAAAAAAATGGAGAGAGGGAAAGAGGGAGCAAAGGAAGAAAAGAAGGATGTAGGTGAAAAGAGATGACTAAACTTTGGTTTCATTGAGTTTTACCCTAGTACATTTAGAAAAAGAAAGAAAAGAAGTGAAGTAGAAGAAAGCAGAGCCTTGTTATTGAAGACTTCACTGTTAAAGGGACTGGGAGGAATTACACCAGTGGATTCACCAGCAAAGCCTGAGAGCTAAAAGGATCTTGGATGGGAATTGCTATACCCGGTTTTGTGTTTCCCTAGCTCTGTGACCATAGGCAAATGTCTTTCTTTTCTGGGCCTCATTTCCCCCCAGACAAGGGTGGTTCAGGTCTTTAATCTTCCATTGGGACCCATGACCAGCAGCACTGGCGTCACCTGTGAGCCCGTTATAAATGGTGAGTTCAGGCTCCACCCAGAGCCAGTGCATCCATATTTGACATGTTCTCCAGGAACATGTGCGTTCATGAGCATGTTAATACTTGAGAATCTCTGGCCTAGATCATCTCTTTGTTCTCCTGTAGGGACTACATTTGAGGTTCCTTTATCCTGTTCATCCTGTCCCCAGCATCTGCCTTCACTGTGTTCAGTTTCATAATTAGTGGTGGGGGAGTGGCCTGAAATCCTCTGGGGAAGTTGGCTGGCTTCTTCTGACCTTTCCTGGGAAAACAGGAAGTTTTCTTTTGGGCCTGTTAATTCTTGTTAGGCTGGGGGCACTCAGAAAATAGCTCCAGGGACTGTAAAGACCAGAGGGTGTACCTGGTGAAGAAGGTGCTTCATCTGAAGTGGGTGTTGTATCTGCAAATGGAGAAGAATGATTTGGTTGGAGCAACAGTGTAGTGGAAAACAAGAGCAAACAAGTAGAGTAACATGGTACAGTAGTTCTCTCCTCTGTGTGTGTGTGTGTGTGTGTGTGTGTGTGTGTGTGTGTGTCCTGGTGTGCTGCCTGGGTCAAAGCATGACCTGAGACAACACACATAGCCAAGCAGGTGAGGTGTGGATCCCCAGCCCTGCCCTCCCTCAGAAGACATATCTGATCAAGACCAGGGCAACTGGCAGAAGGCACCTATATTGAGGGGCCACTCCTCAACAGAGGAGTATGGCTGAGTGAAGGGAATGTGAGCTTCATCTCTGTGAAAAGAATGCTGGGCTTTCTGAATCCATTCGGGCTTATACCATAGACAAAGTATACAGAACTTGGGTTTATTCTCCAAATACAAAGATGAAAAGTTGATCATATTTTACTTAACAAACACAGGCAGAAAACATTACCAGAGGGACTGTCCTCTTCTGCTGAGGTTGAAGATGCATCTGTGTATAAATGAGAGAATAGCACACTTAAAAATGAGTAGAAGAGTTGGAGGTATCTGCAAATGTGTAGCTCAGTGGTAGACTGCTTGCCTAGCATGTGCAAGGCCCTGGGTTTGATCCCCAGCATCACAAAAAGAAATGAGTAGAATGATACTGGGCACGTCTGCTCATTGATCTTTACTTTGTGGCCAATATGATCATTTAAATAGGCTCATTTTCTAAATATAACATGACAAACAGAAGCTCATTTCATTAGTTTAAACAGCGCACAAGGAGAGACTTTACCAGTTGGAGAGGTTGCTTCTTCTGAGGTTGAAGAAATGTCTGTGCACAAAGAAAAGAAGAGACTTAAATACCAGTGGAGGACACAACCATATTTCTATTTTTACCAATGCTATACTGGGGACAAAGTATGAAACAGCCAACTTCCATAAATGAAATTCCAAGATGCACTTAAGAAATTAGCAAACTGAGTTGTACCTGATGTGGAGGTCACAGCAGCTGAGAGTGAAGCTGCAGATGAACAAAAAAGAGAAGGCAGCCATTACAGTTATGTCAGACATGCATCTTCTAAAAGATACAGGAGGTGTTTTGTTGGTGCCATAGATCAGCACAACTAGACAGGCTTGTCTTCTTGCTTTCCAGACACTAGTGTGGCAGGCTGCTTCCAGGTTCTCAAGCCATTCCCCCCTATCTCCTTGGGTCTCCATTCCTGTGACCCATCCTTTCCTTCTTCACATGGAGGTGGAGA